ATCTTTTTTCGTTAATTACTCAGTACTTATTATGAATTAAAAAATGTAAAGGACTTTTCTACTCGATTTGACCTCCTCTACCTGTATATGACCGGTGGGGCGATTATTGCCAGACACCCTGTATATATATATATCGTATATATGAGTCGTCAGATCCAAAATACAGGACATTTTCTCAAGGCCGCAGAATATTCAGAACTTCTTCTGACATTCTCGATGCCATTTTTTCAAAAAACTACATAAAAAAATTTTTTCAATTTTTTTTTGCGTATGCAGACCTTTTTTTTACGATTTTTTGATGATATTAAACGCATAAAAACGAAAAGTAGAAAAAAATTTATCTGCTGATTTGGGCAACGTAATCCCGACTCATAGGTCGTTTGCGTCCGCGGTGAGATTGTTATGCTCACTGTGACGACCTGAGGGGGACTGGCGCGCTGCTATTCCGTAGGCGGGTCCTCGGGGGCATAACTTTTTTTAGGTATGGCGCGTTCCGTACCCGTTTTCAAAAATTACAGCACTTTGAAATTTTGCTTGGGTCGAAAACGACCCATGAGTCGGGATTAAGGGTTAATAACATAATATTTACAGCATATTAAATGAACACTTTTTAAATACTGTAATTAAAATATAACAATTAAAATGTTACAACTAAAAGCATTAAGTTTTATGATAAAATATTAAAAGTTAAACACATGCAATAATGCACTGCAATACAAATAAAAAAATAGTAAAGTAAGATTTGAACCAACAATATGCAGCGTTCCAGTCAGACGCCTTGCTCACTACGTCACGCCGCTGCTTGCCAACTTACTCTCACCGGTTGGTACATTACAATTTCGAAAATCTTTAAACGCGTTTTTCTCGCGAATGCTTGAGAGATGGGTCGCATTACTTTACCATAAATTAGTGGGAGAACTGAACTTTCATATATATAAAAGTCAGCCAAATCAGAGAGGACAATCTCTGGTGTTCCCCTTGTTAGTGTTTTACATACATACATACATACATACGTATATACATACATATATATACCGGTGACGCGCATATCCAAGTTTTGGATGCAAAAAGATTGTGAACTTACACAATTGCAACGAGTTTTTTCTTATCTCTTTTGAAAGTCTTTATATATTTTTTAAAGTTTATCTATTAAAATCTGAAGTATTCTGCATATTTGTAGTAAGGCGTTTCAATATTACAAATAGATTGCACTGTAACATTACTGTAGTCTTACATTGTAATATTTCCAAGGGCGGACATTTTAACGTTGCCGTAAGCTTGCAGTTACATTGCAGAAACATTTCGCAACTTCCATGCAATGTTACAATGTTTCAATGTAAGGTTTATGTAATGTTTCTGCAATCTTTTGGTGCTGTATGGGAAGCGTTATTCGAATTAAATATGTCATACATGACAAATCAGATACAAATAAAAGCATATTATCAAGAAGAAATAAAAGTGTTATTTAAATTTAAAAAATACCTTTTTCAATTGAAGTACGTCCTCCACATTCGTAATCATAACAATTATTGTAGAAATTTTCTCTTGCCTATAAAAACAACGTAATAAATTTAATATACATGATAAATACTAATAAATGTACAAGTATAAATGTATTTAAAAAATGTCATTACTCTATTAAATTAAATTTAAAAAAATTTTGCAATATAAAATCCAATATTATTTTGTTCCTTGCATGCCTCGCAATAATAAGAAGAAATATATTAGCACGTTTAGCGTGTTGTATTTTAGCAACAAATTTATTCTGTCTTGTTTGTGTTAAATAATTGGTGATAATAACAGAATCTTTGCTGCAAGTCAAGTATTCTAAAAATCTATTATTAAGTGTATTCTCCCATTCAATCAATATATCGTTCCAAATAGAAGATTTTCCTTCTATCAAACCAGTACAATACATCCATTCTTTCCATGCGTTAGAAGAATAATTTTTTTTTCTGCGTTACCAAAAAAAATAAATATTTTATATAAAAATTTATCAAATTTTAAATTATAGTAGTAAAATAATTTACCTAGTATAACGCAATAATGCCACATAGTTTGTGTATACAAACATCGTAATTGTTTCCAAATACAACTTACCTGTTTTGTACAGAATGATGACGATCTAAATTGGAAGTGACTGTTAGTCTGCACAAAGGAACATTAAAAATACATGCCCATCTTATAGCTTCTTCTCTTAAATATTTAGTAAGATCGCTTTCGACAAGTTTTTCATTGTATCCTATATTTTGCAGAAGATCACCCAATATTTTTTTCACTTTGATCTAAAAATTGTTAAATAATATAACCCATACAGCACACAAAGATTGCATACACATTGCATCAATCTTTCATCGCAATGTTGCAATATTGCAAATTCACTGCAAAATGTTGTTGCATCATTGCTGTGGGATTGCAGCAACGTTAAAATGTCCGCTTTTAGGAAGATTGTAACGAAATATTACAGTAATATTGCAATGTAATGAATTTGCAATAATGCATTGTTATTGCAATCTTAGATAATGTTGCATATATTTTTATTTATTCGGACATTTATCTGTCCAATTTTGAACTAATCAGTTC